GGCCCACCCTGTAGTTTGTGTTACTGCGTTTAGTCTTTGTGTGTAGAAAACTCTTACTTCACAGTCAGGTCACTTCAACTAACAGGCAATTGTTATTCCATCAAATGTAGACCATTGTTTTTTTCATTTGTTTATATGCCAGATCATCCATCAATCTTATTGACTCTCCTGGCTGAATTCTGATGAAGCTTTGGAAAGTAATGTAACTCACTCCATCAATTCAGCCTTTTCAAACAACCAATATGAGCGGGGAGGAGGTTTAGAGGGGGCATAATCGTTTGTCTATATGATGTCTTGCATCACAGATTATGAAGTGTTATGACTAGACCTACAGGAACAATGTAATTCAGCCCTCTGTGGTATCATTTTCAAAATGATATAGATTGGTGGAGCTTTCATCAGAACGCAATGCTGTCTGGGCCCTTCTCTGGGGCATTTGCTTGGATTTTCTTGTTTCTCCAAATATGAAAAACATGTTGGGTTAATTCTTACACCACGACTCGTCGCTCATCCTAATACTTAGAATGTGTTTGGAATAAGAATTTTCCTGCACAGAGCTTCATTTTATGTCGAGCCTGTTAGTGAAACTTATTCAAAAGTGTACCCAAGAATTCCCTCAGTGTCACTGAAAGATGTACAGGAGCTGAACTTATTTGAAAAGTAATGACGGTCACTGCAGGCAATGTGCACTTTATTCCAACGTTTACGGTGTTAGACCCAAAGCAATTCCCTAGTTTACCGTTTTCAGAACTGACTTGTATATGGACTGATGGGGCTGTTTTTATGGGTTTATAAAATGCTGTTGAAGCTTCAGTGTGTGTGAAGCTAAGCTTAGTTATAATTATTAACTTTAGTTTAAATGCACAGGCACCAAATTGCTTCTAGCTGAACTCTGGCATCGGCATGCAAACATGTTACCGCGCTGAAACACTGTCTTCCATTAGTTTCAGTAACGGTGTGTTGATGGATGCTTTTTGTTAAAGGGTTTGATTTTGGTTCAAAACTGAAATTACACCATCTACTGCCACAAAATGTTATTTCTGTTTTTTTGTGAATGCTTGCCCAGCAAACATTTTGAACTTCAGTAACCCTGCTGGTGATAGATTCTCAATAGTTGTGGTTGAAAAAGAGTTCCAAAATGAAAGTTGTGAGGACGTCGATCCTCCCAGCAGCTCCTGATGTTTCCACCTTTCATGTCATTGGCTGAGGTCTTAGTCTTGTAGCCAGTGGGTGCCCTCCAGGGTCAAAGCCTTCAAGGCCTTTGAGAGAATCTGTTGTTTCGGCAACCAAAATGACCAGAGCAGGGTATTGGTAGTCTGTTAATATTTTTTTTAGCGTAAGATTCTTATGTTGCTTCTTTGTGTTTGTTAATTTATTTTTCCCCTTTGTGTCATTGTCTTGTGTTACATTTCCCAACAGGTTTCCTGTGGTCAGAGTTGCCAGGAGAGTTTCTCTTGATATTCACCTTTTTCTCTTGTTCCACTGGTTTGTTAGGGAGTTAAAGCGCAGGACTGTCACTTTTCTTTAGACAAAGTTTAAAGTTCGTTAGATGATGGGGTTTTGTTTTGTGTTGGGGGTGCTGTTGTGTTGTCTTTGGCTCTCCCAGAAGCCAATTTATGCATAGTTTTTGATATTGTGCCAATAAATAATTTCCAAACGACCCAAACAGCCTCCCTCAAGTTTCTCCATCTAGTATTCTGTTACTTTCCGTACCAATAGATCCATGTGGGGAATGTAACAATTTGCATCACAGGGTCAGTAATTTGGGTAAGAGAGGTCATTGTAACGGGCCAATGTGTAAAGTTCACCATGCAACAAATGAAACAGAATTTAGATGCACATAAATGTAACTAGTGTAACGGTGTCGTTTCCATTTAAAAATGCTAGTTTGTATACATGCAGACGTTGCAGGGCCGTCAGCTCACTTTGAATTTCCTGTTCTGTTCAATATTTCTGAATTTGTTAGCGACACTTTATTCAACATTAAAATGTCGACACCTGCCTGTTGTTTGTTTTTTCCGTCCATGCCATCACCAGCTTTGACCTTGAACACATTTGATGGAAATCAACCGACTGCCTGAATTTTCTGAATGAATGGTGAACGATTGGTGCAGAATTAGACATGGCTTTAGTCAAACCCAGACAGCGAGCTGATGAATTTTACAGCTACAGTTTCTTTTAATGGCAAAATGTTTCCAACTGTGTACTACTGTAAAAATTTTACACTGAAATTCCAGTTATTTACCCATTATTGGGTCAAAACCTCTGCGTGTTTAAAAAATACTTATTTAGGCTCCTCATCTGTATTTTGTTAGTATCATTTTTCAATCTCGTCATATGAGCCGTATCATTTGAAGTGTTACAAAAGGTATTGTCTGACAGTCTTTTGCTTAATCAAAAGGTGAATAATTTGAGATGACTGCATCTTTGATTTCTGTTGATATTTGCAGATGATGATACTGAACAGAAAGAGCGTTAAATTTGAGCTGCACTGCATTCAATTTTCAGATTCTTGAAGGTTCTTCATCTACAAAGAAACAGAAAAAGCGTGAACTGTGACGTCTGTGCTTCTTTGATCCGTCTGACTGTTGTCATTTCTGTCCTCAAAGTTAGACTTTCTGGCACAACTGCATGAACTTTTGTGTATCTCTCGTTTCGTAAGGTAAAAATACTGAACTGAAAGAAAAAATCCTTACACTAAGGTTTCACAATGTCAGGCAAAACCAATTCACCCAAAACTAGACCAGTGGAACGGGGTGCACAAATGGCACGTTGAGAAAAGAGGATTAAAATGTTCATTGTCTATGTAATTTGCTCTGCTTGGCAAAATGTCAATGTTCTTCTCAATTCCAACAGACAAAATCTGGAATTGCTTTGCTGTACAATGAGGAGACCAACAATACCTATGATGTCTGCCTGAAATTGACCAAAGAGGTATTAACCATACAGAAGCTGGATGTGGTTTGCACGAGTGGAAGTGAATCCCAAGTAAATGTAAGTGCACCCGAGGCCTCCAGGCTCGCTTTTTGTAATTCATGCCGCATAACTCCAGCATACTTTTCAATGTTCACAATATCCTTTTGCCAATAAGAAACTCCCACTTTCTAAAGCACAGAACTGTTGTACTGCGAAGACAAGCGACCGGCGGTCTGGGCTTAAGCATCAAAGTAAGCAGATAAGTTTTGAGACTACAGTGGAAATGAAAGGCTTTGGGTGGCAGAGATGGCTGTTTGAGGAAAGCTGTTTTGGCAGCAAATTTTACCACCCATACTCAGAAATGCACATCCTCATCTTTCTCTCCTGCTTTTCAGGGAGGTGCAGAGCACAACGTGCCAGTGGTTATTTCAAAGATTTTTAAAGATCAAGTAGGTAAGAAAGCATTTCATCTCACTACTTTAATGTGGCTTTGGAAATGGTTTTCAGTGTGTCGTTGAGTTTCATGGTTCAAAGTGATTACAGACGTAATAAATTATTATTATATTGGTACTTAAATTGACAAGATTTGTCTGTAAGATTTTTAAAAAGTCTTATAGTTTGATAGCATCCTTATTAAAAGACATTGTCACAGTAGAATACATATTTGAATAAATTAAAAAGAAGGGTTGGATGAGAAGACTGACGTTAACGCTGGAGGTCATGTTTAGCCAAGCTTAACCATTAAAATCAAGTTAGCCAACACGTGTAATGTGTGACTTGAGCTGTTTTTACACATGCAGTGCTTTTGATGAACTTTTGTGTTTTTAGGAATTCACCAAAAGAGCTGTATGGGAAGAATGCAAATCCCTGAGTGTGTGTGATGTTGGGTTTTGCTTGTTCAGTTCAGACAATTCCCAGCCATAAACCACTCTGTAGATATTTCCCGTAGTGCAAAGTGCCTAAAGTGGATTATTTCCTGCTGTGTGATCCATGTGAGGCAGGACAGTTGCGGGAAAATACCCCAATCTGATTCTTAAAAAAATTCGCTGCACAGCATGAGTTTGTAATGAGTTTTAATTTATCAGGACGCACTGCAGTGCGTATAAAGCCGTTTTCACATGTGAACGTCAGAGAAGTAAAACACAGACGCGAATAATCAGTTTGAAATCTGACACACAGAAAGTCATCTACAACACATTATTTAGGAAACGTTACAGAACATGTATGAGACAACTGCACAGGACATATAAACTTTGATTTCCAACACAAGTTTTTTTCTTTTTGATTGTATGCACAGTTTTTACATGGTGCATAGACTGTATATAAAAGATGGATGCACAACTCGTTCTTGAAGCTTCAAGCTGTTGTTTTGGCTGTTTTTGTTTGTTTGTTGGTTTTAAAAGATGACAAAACAAAAGGTCAAATGCATTTCACGCCCATACAGTAGCACTTTGTCAATCACAAGGCCGCCATGCCTCCATCACACTGTATTTTCTAAACTACTCTAAATGGGACCATAACTTTTAAAGTGAATGCAGTGTTGTATTGAAGATGACTTGATGAGATAACCAACTTATTATGAATATGTTCACTGAGAAGTATGATCATTTTCCCCACAGACTATAAAATCTGGCTTCTGTTTGTAAACAACCTCCAAGGTCGTGCAGATCTGAGGCGCCTCAGAACCAGCTTTGCTTCATTAGGACACTGCATCCAACGTTTATATACAGTCTATGATTGAAACAGCTTAATGCACTCCTAAGTTTCCTGCAACTTTTTCCTGAATCTAAAAGTCTATCGTAGCCTCTGTTGTCATGTCAGATGAACCACCCTCCATGTGTCTGTAAGCGGAATAACAAAAACAGCTAAATTACTGGCTGATATGGACACAACTATTTCTTAACTGATGTCCCAGAACTGTGGCCTGCCGGGCTGCGATGGTAAAACACAGATGAGATGGTCACAGTTGCTGCATGTGTTTTTGTCTGCTGATGGCTGTAATGGTGTGAAAATGGAAATGGGACTGAAAATTTTATTTACAAAGAGGTGAGAGGCAGAGCTGCCGATGCTTGCCGCCTCACCGTGCCGAGTAAGCGATTAGCAAATGTAAATAAATATTGGATTTTTGTTTTTGTTGTCAGGCTTTTCGTGATTATTTTTTCTCTGTGTATTCAGTGACCTTTTTCCCCTTTCCCCCCGTGATCAGGAAAAATGAAAGCTCTGCCGGAAACCCCGTTGTCCACGTTCACTGCACCCAGCTGCACAAAACACCCCCTAAAAACCGCAAACATCTGCTCTTTGATTGCTTTAAAGGTTGTTAAAGTAAATTTGACATGACAGGTTTTTTTCCCTTTCGTTTCAATCGAATTCTCAGCAACTCTCAGAAAGAAAACATTTTTTATTTATGTGCGCCTGCTGCGAGGCACAAAGTAAAAGATGAGCTGTTGTAATCTCTCACAACAGCTCATCAGTCCAATAGGGCAGTTAATTGATGATAAGTGAGCATGAAGTGCTGTGGAGAAATAAACCATCGCCAGATTGGAAGAGTAATATGATCATGCTGTTAACTAGATGGAAAATACTTTAATCATGTCTGTCAGTTAAATTTTAAGAATTGATGACCTCCAAGTTTCCCTGCGTGAAGCCATATTAGAGCATCATGTGAGCGAATCATTTTCCGGTAATTTTTCTTTTTGCCCACGCGCTTCCTAATACTTTTTCTGATGCGAGAAAATCATGTCTTGATATCCCGAGGACGTTAAGAGCCCTTTTCACACAGCTTTACGAATCTTTTCACAACACAGCTCTCATTGTTTCCTCCTGTGCTGCTGCAAATGAGTTTATTTCCTGATTAGTTTCGAATTTCATGCCTTCCTGTGTTCTTTCTGTAAGCTGTAGGATGTTGTCTGAGATTAGACGGATGGGGGGGGGACACTGATTGCCATTTCCACCACATTACCGTGTATGAAATGAGCAATTATTTCGTAATGTTTTCATTAACCTCTGACACTCAACGATTGACGCTCCGCAGCCGATCAAACGGGGAAGCTGTTCGTCGGGGACGCAGTGTTGCAGGTCAGTATCAGTTTCTGACTTATTTGCTTGGATGCTGGTTGGGGTCATGACCCAGCGGGGCGGCTCTTTGCATCTCAATTTCGCTCAAATTTTAACGGTTATTAATTTGAAGGAATGGTAGCTGAATATTTTGAGCTATATGATGTTTTTCAAATGAATCTTTCAGCATGTGATTTAAAAACAAAAACACATCATTGCTACAGGAATCACTTAATGTATGTGTTCCTATATTTAAAAAAATATCGCCAATGAATAATAGCCGATGCTCCTTAGAGTGGTAGTCATTAGTGTCTAGTGTTTAGTAATGCTATTCATTTAATCTTTTTCATAAGTTAATTTGAATCTGTCTGGCAGCTTTATTGGATCTGCTGTTTATCTAGAATATCAAGTAGGTTCAACAGACAGCAAAGCAATATTACCATTCATATTGAAAATGTTTACGAATAATAATATGAATAGAACTGCCACTGCTTCCATCTCTCACCACTGTTTCATATGTATTTGCAGTGGCTTATTTGAAGTGTCACATTGTAGAATATTGCATCTATTTGCCTGGATGGCAGGAGACGGAGCAAATTAGGGGCTGGTGCGTAAACTTTGGGAGTCATGGGGAGGCTCAGACTGGAGGACTGTTTTTAGGGGAGAGAATCTGTGAAATGAGTTTAGCTTAGATTTTAAAATAAATAAATAAATGAAAAAAAAAAGGCTGAATAAAAAGATATAGAGATAGATATAGAGATAAATATAGAGATAGATATAGAGATAGAGATAAATATAGAGATAGAGATGGATATAGAGATAAATATAGAGATAGAGATGTTTATATATATAAAGGTTTTTCCTCCAAATTGCAGCAGATTATGACAGACTCTTATAAACTTTAACACTGTGTCTCTGTGTCGTTTCCTGTCTTGTTGCATTTTTCTGTATTTGTACTTACAGTTTTGCATTTTACTTTAAATATATTGATTATTTGTAGGAATTCTATTTGGTGATTGGTGTTTTTATTTTTTTCCTGTCTTGGAGATAATTTCCATCTGCTTTTATTCTCTTTATAATGATTTAGCATCTTATTTGATCTTATTTTCACTTCATATTATTTTGCCTCTGTAGCTCAAGGCATTGTGTTTTGGCGTCAACTATACACTCACTGGCCACTTTGTTAGGTGCACCTTTAGACGCTGAGCATTAGAGTGGGAGACAACACTCCTTGTTGAGGTCAGAGGAGAATGACAAGACTGCTTTAAGCTGATAGGAAGGTAACAGTAACTCAAACAAGCACTTGTTATAACCAAGCAGAAGATTGGTTATTGGTTTGCCTTGAAGCAGATGGGCTACAGCAACAGAAGACCACACTGGCAGTCCTCACTGGTCTGGCTCACAAAAACTGGACAATAGATCTCTGGAAAAACATGAAAGCATGGATCCATCCTGCCTTGCATGAACGATTCAGGCTGATGCCAGTGAATGTACTCAAATGGACTCCAGTCACCATATCTCGATCTAATAGAGCATCTGTGGATGTGCTGGTATGGGAGACTCGCATCATAAATACAGAGCTGAGAAGTCTGCAGGAACTGTGTGATGCTGTTGTATCTATATGAACTAACATCGCTGAGGAATGCTTGTGGCTAAACATATGCAATGAAGAACTGAGGTAGCTGTGAAGGCAAAATTGGGTTCTAACATGGTGTACCTAACAAAGTGGCTGGTGAATTTATGTTCTGTTAACTTGGCCTGAACTGGGACTTAGAGAGCTGAAAGTCACCGTAGCCTTGCAAAACATATTTTGGTCATAACTCAAGAAAATCCCAAAACACATAATTAGTTTGGATTGTGAAAATGTTCTTCATACATCAGACATCTTCATACATAAATATTAATCACTTTAGTGCAGGAGCTGTTATTCTGGACCTGGTAGGCCTGTCCAGAACTACACCGAGGTGACTAAACAGCCCATCACCCTGCGAGTCATATTCTAGAGATGGAGGCCTGTGACACCTCTGACCCTGTTAGTGAGAATACAAGTCCTAAATTGTCTTATGTTAAACTAAATGTTTGTGTTTCATCTCTGTTTGTTTCTTTAGGTCAATGGCATTAATGTAGAGCACTGTACTCACGAGGAAGTTGTGAGTATTTTTGTATTTGACTCTTGCAAAAAGCCAATACCCTGTTCCATCTGCCCATTACTCTTCCATCCGTCCTCCAGGTGTAACACCAAATCCCGCTGTTTATCAACAGGGAGTTGCGCCTCAACAATCTGAGCTGTCATCTTGGCAGGAGGCTGTTTTTCTTTTCGTTTACACTGTGACAAATTGAAAAGCCTGAAAAAGAGTCGATTATTATCAAAGCCTGCACAGGAAGTGAGGGTGCCAGTATGCGATGTTCTCCCCCCCCCCTTACTTCTACATTCACAATTTCTTTCTTTTCATTTTGATCAATTTCCCTCTCAAACAGCATCTTCCTTTTGTTAAATATCCCCTCTGCTGTTTGCGACCATCCCTCCATCTCACCCACGCACACGCACGCTCTTCCTGTCTGTCATCTCTTTTTCCTCGTGCAGCCTCATACAGCTGTTCACTACATTCACCTCCAGAGCGTCAAAACATATAATGAGCAGTTTCTGTTCAGAACAAAATCCAGCACATTTAATAGCAGCCTGTCACACTGTCGGCGCTGACAGATGCTTGGCCTCAAGTAAAAGGGCTAGCATATAATGCAGGAGAGGATGGCAGATATGCATCGAGGGCATGCAGAAGTGACCTTGCGCTTTTGGTTCATGCGTCTCATTCGCTCGAATTTTTCATTTATTTCATCAGCTGCATGGAAGAAACAGATTTCATCGCATTAAACATACGTTTGCTGTGACTGCATCTCTGAGGACATATGTCACTTACATTCAGAGCGCAATTACTTTGTCGTGTCAGCTGTCACTTTGCCACCGCCTAGCACGAGCGAAAAGCCGGCCTCCGAAATCTGCCTTTTGATGATTCAAGTGGAACCACTTCAGCCAGGCTTTAACTTCTGATTTAATATTCCTCACTCATCTCCCGCTACATTTCATTTGCTCAGGCAGCATACAGCTTGACATGAATGTGGCTTGTTTCATTTATATGAGATTAAGTTTTATCTCGCTGTATCGCTCGCAATCTCTCTCCCTCGCTATCTGTATCAATCTCTCTCGCTCCCGCCAGGTTCACCTCTTGCGTACTGCGGGAGATGAGGTCACCATCACTGTTCGCTACCTGCGAGAAGTTCCATCATTTCTAAAACTGCCTCTAGGTAAGCGCACGCTGATCGGCGCCGTTTAAACCGGCTATAAGCTTTATTTCACTGAGCATTCTTAGCAAATGAGAAGCGAACCGCTTTTATGGAAAATTGTCTTTTTGCTCAACTCGGTGCTTGAAACCTGTTCGATAGACGAGCGTTCATTTCAGAGTAATAAATTGTCATGCTCGGTGGCCCGAGGCGAGCAGTAATGTCAGAAACACCCAGAGCTGCACTTACCATCAGCAGCTTGAAAAGATGAAAACGGAGACACTAAAATCATCCAGGTGGAGCCGATAAAAGGTGTGGAGCGAAGGATGTAGGTGAGAGCAGTGAGAAAATGATGGCACTGAAGAAAGCAACACAAACCAAACCTCAAAGTAAAGTGTAAATTTGGCAATTTATTGGAACACTTTGCAATACTTTACCATATACTTAACATGAGAGTGAAGGCGGGTGAGAAATGTCTGAAAACATGTTTGAGTTCTAACGTTTCATTTAATAAAAACCCCCCCAAAAAAACCAAAACAGGGCATTGCATAAATGTCATTTTAAATGTTTTCATGTTATTAATATGACTGGCAGCATTTTAGTTTCCCACCAAATTACAGTAAATCATTTCATCTTAACTGCCTCCCGTTTGCTTCCATTTCTGATACCAGTCAAAAAACACAGAAGTTTACTTTTGTGTTTTAGTGTGTCATAAGAAAATAAAGTAACAATATAGTAATTATAAATAGATTTTTTTCACTTTTGAGGCC